AGGATTATGAGTTAGACTTTAGGTCTTTTTACTATTAACACTTTTTAATTACAGTCTACTAATTAATTTTTTTTAATTCAGACCTATTCTTTTTAATTATTGTTATTGTTTTATTTAGGTAGATTAATTCATAACACCTAATTTAGTTAATCAAATTAGTTTAAATTATGATAATTAGAATTAACTAACACTTTTATAATAAATATTATTAAGACTAAAATTTCAAATTAATTAAGATGGTTAACTTATTTAAGGGTAAACGCATAATTCAACTTCATCTCTAATAAATCGAATCAGATTAGGTCTTATAATAAATCCTTTGCATGACAACAATATGATAGTTTTTCACTTCAATCTTATTTTAGGTTCATAGAATTAGGTTAGTTTCGTTCGGATGTTAACTGGACAACCTTTGATATAATTCTTCTGCCCAGTGAAATGGTTGAGAAAGATATAGATTATTTTTCACTTAAGAGAGGTAGGTGACATACTCGTCGATTTTATATCCAAGTTAGAGCTTTTCTCTTAATGTGAAGCAAAGATCCATCTTCGACATGTTTGTGGTGGTTTAAGTTTAGTATTCTCCTTAAGATGACAACTTATCTCTTCTTCTAAAAACCAACTTTTTCCTTTTACTTTGTTTATCCTTTGAGAGGAAGTACGAATACTCTAATTCCATTTCCGCCACGATACGTAGGCCCGAGAACTTTGAGTGAAACATGTTTTGAACTTTTCCTCATCTTCTTCGTCACTCCATTGCTCTGTTATTCTCCTTGTAATTTCTTTGTCTTAATTTATTTTCCTTTTCCTCTAGCTGTTTCTGAATTTACTCTGGTTTTCGAGATTTTTTCAAAGGTAGTTTTTGAAATTGGGGGTGTTAAATTTTGTATTAGATCTATGGATGTAACTAATTTTAGATTTTCTTTCTCCCAATTGTTTTTTTCCAGTTATTATGTAGTTATCTGCTTTCTTAATTTGATATATATTTAATATTTTTACTCTATTTTCATGTGGTTATTGATTTGTTAGGTTTTTGTGATAGGTTCTTTGGCTGAGTAATTTTTATTGAACTGCACCACATAGTTGTGGTGTGTTATATTACATTGAATCAAGTTTTTTTTGTTCATTCTTTGTGAATTTGCACACTTGTATTTCATGGTGTTTATTTATTACTGTAATTGGTTGCAGGAGGGTTACAGGGTTGCTTTAAATGTTTATGATCTAAGCCAAGGACCTGCAAGACAACTTTCAATGTCGTTTTTGGGGAAAGCTATTGAAGGCGTATGGTGAGTGCTTCTATTTGTTGTTGGTATGGAGGGTAGTGATTTTGTTCTAATAACTTGATCGGTTGTTGTCAAGGTTTTATGAATAATCCTAATTTATGATAATCCTAATTTTTTCTTTATCATAAGAACTGTGAATATTAGTGTTGGTATCAGCAACGACACGACTGTAACGACTTGTTGTATAATAGGGTAATAGGTTGTTTGTTGTATAATAGGGTAATATGTTGTTTCAAATAAATGGAGTTGCTTTTTAACTCTAAAGATGTTTTGGAAGAGATTAAGGAGGGTAAGAAAAATGGCAATATGGAGCAAGTTGGAAGGGACTTGATTGGAATTTATTCAACCAATCAAGTAGACAAGGATGTGATATCTGGCATTTTTTGAAAGCGGCGCTGAAAACGGAGCGCCGGACTGAAGAGCTTAATAGAGACCAAAATTGAACTTAGCTCTAAAGGTTACATGGCCAAAGAACTTACTTTTCTCCTTTGAAGGCTATTTAAAGTGTTAAGTTCTGTCGGGCACCAACTTCCATCAAAAGGAGTATTATTTTGAACCATTTTACATGATGTTTCTGCAAGTTATCTGTGTCAGAGGGTTATTTTCCATGGTCAAGTTGTCTTGTGGTTATCAAGCAGTGATTCATGAGAAGTTTGCTTCAAAATTAGATTCATCAAGTTACAAGGATGTCTTCATCAAAGATTTCTCAAGAATAAGAGAATTAGTGTTTTTTATTCATTGTGCTTGAGCTTTGATAATGATTCATCGGTTGAAGTTTATTGTGTTAGGGGTTTATTTCAAGGCTACATTGAGCATTATCCTTTCTCTATTCATCATCATCTCAAGGTTTCTCTTAATTCTTTGTTTCACAAGTAAATATCTTTCATAAGGTTTAGAGGATTCCTCAAGGACCTATATTTGTGGTTAGATCATCAATGTGAGGAAAATTTTTCTAAGTCAAGACCTTGTGATTGATTAAGATGCAAGTATTGATATTTAGATTCATCATGACACCAAAGTCTTAAGAACTTGTTTCACTCAAGATTTAGTTCAAGTTGGAAGGGTTCATTGTTTATGGCTTACTTGGAGTTTAAGGCATGTGCCATCCAAAGATTCAAGATCCATTCTTACTTAATTCACCTTTTTTATTCATCGTCCATTCTCCACATCCATTATCCAAATGTTCATTAACCATGTTCTCTAATCCATTTTGGTTATCCAATTTCAAAACCATTATCCATTACTAAACCTTTATCCATTTTAATACTCGTTGTCCAATATCCACATATATTAAATCCATATTCATTATCTTTTTTTAAAACCATATCTAATTCCAAATCCGCATTTTTTTTCAATATCCATTCTTAAATCCTCTTTTTTCATAAGAAAATTCATTTTTCATTATTCATATCCATTAAACCATCTATCCAATTCACATTCCTAAATTCACATTCAAATATCCACATCACACATCAAATTATCCATTTTCAAATATATTTCTAACCACTATCCCATTAAAAAAAACATGTCCAAAAATCAACAAACTTTGCAAAAAATTTCAAAACAAAGTCCTTATTACATGATATAAAACAATTGCTAAAAACAAGAAAAAGGCCTTTACAAAATTCAACAAAGCCAACGTGACATGAAGCTATGACCAAAGCAAGCCTTCCAACTATGCCAAGCCGTGCAAGCTTCATGAAGCCAAATATCATGAAGATTCTGAAGCCAAATATCATGAAGATTCTATGCGCAAGCTACAACAAAACAAGCTGCAAGCAAAATATCAACATGAGCCAAAACTAATCTACTTCATGAATTGAATCCAAAACGACATTAAATTTTTAGCAAGTCACGCAGCACATACATAACATACAAAACGCAAAATGAGATAATCAATTAATTTGGTGGATAATATATTAGAAATAGTGAAATTTGAAAATTTTCATTTTTAACACTAAATAATTGATTATACCCATGGAATAACCGATTATGGGCCATGGATCATTTTGTTTTTTTATCTAATTTTTCCCTATATAATAAGGATGCCTCCTTACTATTTCATACAACAAAATTTGTTTGTAAATTATTCTTGTCATTTTAACTTTTTTTTTTTCCTTTTATTCTCTCTTTCACTAAAATTTGTCTTAGTGTTTTTCTTAGTGAAATATATTTGTGAGGTTTTAGTTGTACTGATGTTCAACTAACTTATCAATAGTATGATTCTCTTGAATTTTCTATTGTTTGGTTGTTAAGGTTATCCTAGTAAAACTTATGTTTTGTTTTCGAGATTATCCGGTCAAAATCTCGTTCTTAGGTTGTGATCTTTGTCAACGAAAAGCTCCATTTGATTTGAGGGATCATTTTTTTAAAATGTCCTAGTCAATTTTAATTAGGTTCTTGGACATAACATAGTAAGAGCTCAAAAGATATCATTATAGAAACTTTTAAGAAGTTTTTCTCGAGAAGAAGAGTATGCTAAGATATTGGTCGAACCTCTCTAACTTCTGGTGCTCTCTCTCTCCCCCCCCCCCCCCTCTCTCTCTCTCTCTCGGACACGAACACGGACACCCACGCGCACACACACACACGCACGCACGCGCGCGCTGCGCGCACACACACACACACGCACACGCGCGCGCGCGCACACACACACACATAATTTACTTTCATCTCTTTCCATTTCCTACTACTTTTATATCTGCTCTTTTAACCATACTAACAAAAATTGTTGTTAGTCACAATTTTTGAATACCACTATTTACCTCCCTCTCCCCTCCCCCTTCCATCTTCCCCCTCTTGTACTTGAAATCACTTGTTTAACACTATGTCTGATTGTTTTGGATCTAACCATGATAAATATGATGTGTTCTTTCCTTATCTCTTATTTTTTTTATCTATTATCTTATTCTTCATCTAATATTTTGTTAAAATCAACTTATAAACCTTTTATTTAATAAAACTTTTGGGAAAAATTATATCACAATTCACCCATCTTCCTTCTTATATTTGAAGTCACTTGGTGAACCCGTATGTTTTTATAAAAGTCATCAAGTGTCATGTAATAGAAGATTTATTGGTTGACTAACCATACATGGAATATATATCATAACATATGTGGAAAAAATCCTTAGGACCTCCATTTTGATAGCTCAAAACAAGAGGGTTTCGAGATGGATAATAAGTCATCTCATCCAAGATGTACCAATAAAACTTGTGTTCTAACTGACTACTTTTTATTTCATAACATACTATTTTTTATTTCATTTTCTCTTATTTTAGAGGTATTTTCCAAATAACGCTACTTTCTTTTCTTTTAACCTTTATAAAACCATATTCTTTAAAAATGATCAAATAAGTTGTAACATAGTTTCAATTTTGTTATATTATAAAGCACATCTATTCAATCACTTTACCCTTATTGAAAATATGAAAACATGGGAATTCATAGGAGCAACTACTAATATATTATTAAAAATAAATATGTAAATATTCTACCTATATTTCATTGTTGTTATATATCCTTGCGGCAAATACAACCTATTTTTTGGGTTTTTTTTTGAGGTAGACATTCATTTTAGAAAGTAAAATATGGAACAACACATCTATTGATACATACACAAGCTAACATGTAAGAATGAAATAGTCTTGATGGCCTAACTTAATTGGTTTCATTTGAGTGATTCTTTCTTTAAAGATATGGATTTGTCCTTTTTCTCAAGGCAAAGGAACTCGTCTACGATACTCAGCTAGAGCCCATAGTGGATAAATATGTCTATACATTGGATAATGCAACATGCAGTTTTTCATGAATACTCCTGTGATTTCCTACAATAAGGTAAAAAACAATTCATTATTGTGTTAGCTAGAATGCAAGCATGAAACATGCATCCATATTAGAAGATTGAGATGAACCTGTTGAGGCCAATCGCCTTCTTCTAACTGAGAATTAATGAGCAACTTTGCTGCATGATGAAGAGGAGTGGGATCTCTCTGACTGTAGTTATGAGTGAAGTTAAGATAATAAATAAATATTTGTGATGAAAAGTCTATAATCACACATAGAAATGTTAAAATCAAACCTGGCTGGCATGAATTAAACCCATAAGAGCCCATGAAGTATGTACGACATTTGACCGATTTCCTTCAAGAGGTACATATAGGTTAGGTTTTCTAAGCTGCCTCTGGAAAAAAGAGTGACTACCTCTCTTTTGCATGAAATCTGTGTGTGGAATGACTTTCAGAGAAGCCTGAGTCACATAAATATAATCAAATACTATATCGATCAACTTGATTGATATCATCCGCTCATATTCCACATATAATATAGTACAAGTGAAAAAAGAAGAGATAGGTTGATGATATATGCGGCACTAATATTATAGAAGAGAATTTTTCACATCGGTTGTTTTTTTAGTATCTGCATGATGCAATCAAGCAGATTTTGACACAGTGTTAGACATATTGAAGTTCGATGATAACACACGGTATAGATCGCCATAATGTTTAACTAAGAAGGGCATTTAGGAGGAAAGCCACCCTTTAAGAAAAAAAGTTAATCAAATGTTAAAATGACTGGTAGAAATTGAGAACCAATTGGTTATCATTGAAGAATTAAAGCAGGAAATACAGACAAAATTCAATGATAACCAATTGGTTCTCAATTTCTATTAGTCATTTTGACATTTGATTAACTTTTTTCTTGAAGGGTGGCTTTCCTACTAAATGCCCTTCTTAGTTAAACATTATGGCTATCTATACCGTAGTATGTGGTATCATCGAACTTCAATATGTCAAACACTGTGTCAGAATCTGCTTGTTTGTTCAAATTCACAAATACTAAAAAAAAACAACCAATATAAAAAACTCTCTTCTATAATATTAGAATTTCAACCTTCAAATAGTCTCCAAAGAAAAGTAAGCTCTTTGGACCTGTAACCTTTGAACCTAAGTTCAATTTTGTTTTCTATTAAGCTCTTCAGTTCAGACATTTCTTGTCACTAAGTTTTCTCAAAAATTTCAGATATCACATTTTTATCTACTTGATTGGTTGAATAAATTCCAATCAAGGCCATTCCAACTTGCTCCATATTCCCATTCTTCTTCCCCTAATTAATCTCTTCCAAAACATTTTTGCAATACTGTTTCCATCTTCATCATCACCAAGTCTTTTGAAAGAGATGTACTGTTCCAAAAAGCTGAGATTACGAAAACCAACCTAAACAGCATATAACAATTAAAAGAGAATCCAAAGAGATTTAAACAGCATATCTCAAAGAGAATATAAAGAGATGTTTTAATCTTGATAATCAACTTTAAAAAGCAATGAAAGCAACAATCCTAAGAGATCTAAAAATAACTCAGAGCAGGTTGAATTCGAAAAAAGAAATGAAGATCAACAAATCAAAGTAATTAAGGTTGCACATCAAAATCTCATTGATAATCACGTTTGGAATCAAAATCATCACAGTCGGTAATCGCTCACAGGTAATCACGTTTGCATATCAAAATCATTCAAGAATAATCACGTTTGAAATCAAAATCATCACACTCGGTACTCGCTCACAGCTAATCACGTTTGCATATCAAAATCATTCAAGAATAATCACGTTTGTAATCAAAATCGTTACATTCAGTAATCAAGTTTGTATATCAAAATCGTCCAATAACCACGATCGCATATCAAAATCGTCCAAATCCAAGAATAATCATATCAAAATCTTTTAAAATAAGCGAAATTCAACAATAATTGCATATCAAAATCGACCAAAATTTGCCATTAAAATCTAACAATAATCACTTTCATCGAACAAGTTAAAATTATACCTTCAATGTAGGTTAGAAGTGGGTTGAGAGGAGGAACTTCAGTGGTCCTAGCATTCCCACGTCCACCTAATCATCACTGAGTTTGACATGTTCTTGATCGGTTTGAAGCTTGATTTGAGTTTTGCTTTGGAATGAAGTTTGATTTGAATGTTGCTCAAGGTGGTGGTTATATACACACAGTGTGTAATTTGAAGTTTGATTTGAATGTCGCTCAAGGTGGTGGTTATATACACACAGTGTGTAATTTGAAGTTTGATTTGAATGTTGCTCAAGGTGGTGGTTATACACACACACAGTGTGTAATTTGTGCGAGAAAATGCAATTTGTGCGAGAAAATGCGGTTATGAAATGTCAAGTATATTTCTTCAAATAGTGTTTTTCAAATAAAATAGATATGCGAAAGATGTAGTGTTAAAAGTGGATTATTTTGAGATTGTTTCTTTTATGAAATGTCTAAGTTTAATTATTCAAATAATGGTTGTTTAAAGCCTGAGTTTCGTTATGCATCTGAATTTGGTGAAATCTGATGAGAACATTTTGTTACTTTGTAAAAACCAAACCAATTACTTTTAATTCTTCAATTCGAATGACTTATATTCAACCATTCACGCTTCATTTATTGATATAATTTGATATATTTTAAAGCTAATTTTAATAGTTTTATGAGTAGAATAAATACACAAGCTCATCAATATAAATCAATATTTTAGCTTTTTTATTTAATTGGTAGAGTACATGATTATTGATTTCTCACTAATTAGACAAATTTATATAACTTTTTTTCTATCTACCGAATTTTGCAGAATAAAACATAATTACTAGAAGTTACTAAAGAATACACAATGAGAGATTTTTTTGCCACAATGCGTTAGTCTTGAAGGTGAGATATAACTTAGAAGGGGGGTTGAATAAGTTTGGAAAATTAATACTTGAAAATAATCACACAATTATTTTTATCCTGGTTCGTTAAACAACTACTCCAGTCCACCCTTCCAGAGTGATTTGCCTTTCTCAACAAGGACTTAATCCACTATTAAATCAAACTGATTACAATAGTATCACCTAAGAACTACAGTTCTTAGTCTTCTCAAGAGCTACTGATTCACACTGAATCCTCTTAAGGAAAATTCTTTACAAACAATGTAAATTAAATACAAGAGTTTTTAATGCTTCTATAAAGCTATAATCACAACAGTGATTTTTCTCTTAAGATTTAAGTACAATAAGATTCTATGAAGAATAAGAATGAGAGCTTAAGAATATATGATTTCTTTTCAGCAAGTGTATAGCTCAAGAGTATGTAACTGAAGAATGAAGTGAGAGACTCCTTTTATAGGCAACTGAATTATCCACGTTGAAAAGAGAGTCCAAAAGGTCTGAGCCTTTTTGTCTTCACATGTACTGACCTTTCCTTGAAATAGATGGCACAGATAAATCCTTTTTGTCTGTGTAAGTGTGTCTAGCACAGATAAGGAAAGAGACGTTGAATGATTCCAACGGATACATTCTTGAAAACACTTCTTCAGTTTCAGCAAGTTCTTCAGAGTTTGAATAGATCAGAGTCTTCTGATGAGTTTCAGAACTATGCTGTATCAGAGTCTTCTGCAGCTTGTGTGCTTCTAGCGTGTTGATCATCAGAGCATCTTGACACAGATCTTCAGTACTTGGCAGCGTAGGTACTTTCAGAAACTTCTGTAGATCAATGCTTTGAGAAACTCTTCAATCAATATTCTTCTATACTTCTGATGCTTCAGCTTCAGATGCTTCTGATTATCTTCAGATGCTTCTGGCTATCTTCAGATGCTTCTGACTCAGAATGTTCTGGAGCTTCTTTCTTCAGATCCTTCTGGAGACTACGCTCAGGATCTTCTGTAAGGAGCAAACAGATTCTTCTGTGAGATGCATCTGGCGCTTCAGAGTCAGAATAACTTCTTGTATTCAAAGGCAGATTTGCTTCTAGAGAGTCAATATAATTTTAATCTGCAGTAAAACTCTCAAACAAATTTTAGAGTATATAATTCTTAAATATAAATTTCCTAACAGTTATCATCAAAACAAAGAGTAATTATTAAGAACCAATCTGTGTTCTAACAAGTCTCTCCATTTGGTGGCACAATTTCCCGAAGAAAAACTGAGTATCACTGAATAAAAAACATCACAAAAGAGGCTGTAATGTGTTCCCCTTCTGCAATACACATGTCATTTCTTGAAAAGTTGTACATAAATTCGAGATAGTTCAAAGGAGTTATCCAATTATTTGTAAAAACTAAATTCATATGCTATTTAAAGGCTGAAAATAACGATTGTACCTGGAAAAAATATTGTTGAAAACAAAAAGCACATAGAGAATTTGAAACGAAACTGAAGATGAGAAATTCCCCTCCGTCAAATTTGAAATGTGTAATTCTTCCTTATACCTATTATAGTTATTTTCCACCATGTTTGGTTAAAATCTTATGACTCTTTTAGTGCGTAGGATAAAATAAATCTTGAAATGTTATATTTACAAACATCTTTGCATAGGGCGACAATTCGGGATTGCCTTAGGAAAAGGCGAGGACACGGGATCGTCCGAAGGGAGACATTGATTCATCCCTAAGTTTTTCTCACCTTTGGAGAGAAAAAATATGGGATAAGACATTTATTGGATAAAGAGAAAGTTATAGTTGTTACTGACCTACGTCTCCCTTGGAAATAGGATTTAACTGTCCACCTTTTGACTAAATGGGCAGTGACCTTTCCCAAGAAAACCCTAGGTATCGAGACCAAGGTCTGTTGTAGGCTGTATAGAGGTATAATTGGCTGTATACTTTATTTAACAACTTCTAGATCAGATATTTTATTCAGTGTCTGTTTGTGTGCAAGATTTTAGCCAGATTTTAGAGAGACTCGCTTAACAGCTGTTAAGAGAATCTTTAGGTATCTGAAGGGAATAACAAATTTAGAGTTGTTTTATAAAACAAATTTATAGATTATAAGTTAGTTGGATTCTGCGATGCTGATTATGTTGGGGATAGAGTTGAGAGAAAATCCACTAGTAAAAGCTATCAATTCATCAGTGCAAACTTAATATCTTGGACTAGTAAAAGACAAACAATCATTGCTTTGTCTACAATAGAAGTAGAATACATCTCAACTGCAAGTTGTTGCACACAACTACTCTAGATGAAATATCATTTGGAAGAATATCTGATATGTGAAAGCAATATTTCAATCTTTTGTGATAATATTGCTGCTATCTATTTGACAAAGAATCATATTCAACAATCTAGAACCAAACACATAGAAATAAAGCATCATTTTATTAGAGATTATGTTCATAGGGGCGTGATCGATATACAATTCATTGATACAGATCATTCATAGGTTGATATATTTACCAAACTCGTTA